ACCCCATGGCTGTCCCGCCCGCCGTCCCCACCTCTTGGCACCAGAGCCAGGTGCAATCCTGAACCTACAAACACGATCCTGAACCTACAAACGCAAACAGGATTGCCTGGGCAGAGCCAAGCCCACGCAGCCATGCTCGCACTGACATCACAGGGTGGAAGGAGCTGGTGCCTGTTGGGACCTTCTCCCCGGGATGGGCAGCGAGCCTGGAGCACGGCTGGGACAGAGGAGCCCTTGCAATGAAAAGGTGCTGACCTGGCCCAGAGGGGCACAGGACAAGCTGGAGTGGGCACACAGGGATGGAGCTGGGTGCACAGAGCCCCGCTGGAGACACTGGTCCTGCAGTGAGCAGGGCCCTGGGCACAGCACCCACCGGCACTGGCACGCTTCTCTGCAGTCCCTGGTGTGTTTGCACTGGTGGTGCGGGGAAGGATGTGGGTCTGTGAGCCCCAGGCAGGATCCACGCGCCAGCGCCGGTGCGGGCAGCGAGATACGGCTGATCTGCACCATCCCCGCTTAGTGTGACCGCCACAGGAGGGTCAGCGTGGCGCCAGCTCTCCCTGGGGCTGCTGTGCCAGTGCCCTTCCCCTCCGCCTCCATGTACAGCAGTGCATGCACCACAGGGTAGCCCTGCTCTGGCTGCGTCCTTGCAGACGGGTCCAGAGATGCTGGCGGGCAGCACCGCGACCCAGCCGGCTCAGGTGCGGGAGCTCGGGCAAGTGGGTCTCCTCAGCCTGCTGCAGGGCTTCGTGCTTGGTCTCACCTGCCTCTGTAGGGCCAGTCCAGCCCTGGCACACCCCACTCTGCACTGGTGCCAGGGGCTCTGCGTTAAGGGATAGGACTCACGAGGGAATAGGAGCCATCTCTGCTGCCGTAGCAGGACCAGCCCCCTCTCTCCTCAAACCTCCTTCAACCCCACAGCCTCCTGCTGCAGGACCCGCTTCCAGCCTGAGGGCTGAAGGGTGCCAGGCACGGATGCCCTGCTGTGCAAGGCTGTGGGCAGGGAGGCTCCTCTGCACCAGTGTGTGCCGCAGCCACAGCCCAGAAGCTGTGGCTGACCATGGCTCCCAGACCTCTGCACAGCCCGTACCCAGCCACAAGCACCTTCCAGCCTTCTGGTGTGCACAGCCCAGTGCTAAACGGCCTCATACTGCCTCCGGCACCATAACTTGACTATATAATAGCTGTATTGTTGTTGATCCCAGTGTGCCCAGGAGCTTTTCAAACATGAGTGCAGGCATGCAAATCCGTGTGCTCCTAGTGTGGCCTGCTGCACCCACCCACTCCTCCTTCTGCTGGCCCTCCTTCCCATGCTTTCTGAGCAATGCAAGGAGGGCAGATACCCCATCTCAGTGCAGCAGTGGGCACCACAGAAAGGGCCTCCAGGGCTGCTTCTGGGCGCGCAGCGGCTCCAGCCCCTGCCTGACCGGTGCTGCTGTGGGGAGTGTGCTAGGGGACCAGGCTGACCCCCTGTCCCTGGCAGAGGGGAGCAGCCTTTCCGCGCTGGCTCGGGGTTTGCTCATCCCTGTGCCAGTGTCGGCAGCAGCCCGAGTGAGTGCCGGTACTCCCTGGGGGTTGCTGCTTTTGGCTGGTGCTTTGCCCCAAGCCCAGCTGCCCTCCAGGCCTTTGAAGCACTGCACAAGGCTTCTGCACAGAGGCAAGCCCTGCACAGACTGGTGGTCAAATGCATGTTACAGCTCGTGGGGGCTTTACTCCTCACAGGAGCCAGGCCTGCCTCAGCCCAGTGCTCCACAGGTCCCACTGGTGCTTCTGATCCTCCAGTCTCTCTCTCTCATGCTGAGATGTCCTAGTGCACCCAGCAAGTCTAGCTCAGAAAGCAGAGGGTGCTTGCCTCTGGCAGGTCTGGCTCAGCATGTCAGGGACAGGGACAAGCACACTGCCCTGAACATGCTCAGCCTTTGGCTGTTACTTCCTCCTGCCTGTGAGGTATTTCTTTGTCTTTTTTTCCCTGTATTTAGCATGCAAGCCATAGAAAAGTTGATTTTTCACTGAGCTTTCCCATTCTGTCCCCTCTCTCCAGAGAGTCCTGACAGCTGTGAAAGGAGTGCAGCGGGAGGATGGAGAGCAAACCAGCAGTGAATGGCCATGCTGCCCCCATCTCTCACCAGGAAGACATGCCAGGAGCAAACCACTTGTGCCAGGACATGTTGCCTTGCAAACAGAAAAAAGCAGCTGATGGGGATGTGACAGTGACAGATGCTTCTAGTGAGCCCTCGGAGGCAGCTGGAAGCATTGCTGGAGTGTATGTAGAGGCTTCGAAGAAGATAATGAGCTTTTATGATGCCACCAGAGAACATCTTCTGAGTTTGGATTCGGCACTCTGTCTTCTCGAGGCCCAGGCAGCCACAGGCTTCATCACTGACCCAGTGAAGAACAGGCATGTCTCTGTAGCAGAAGCCGTGCAGCTGGGGCTGGTGGGGCTGGAGCTGAAGGAGAGGCTGCTTTCTGCAGAGAAAGCTGCTACTGGCTTTGTGGACCCCTACACAGAAGAGAAAATCTCCCTCTACCAGGCGATCCAGAAGGACCTGATCGGGAGGGAGCAAGGTACTCGGCTGCTAGAGGCCCAGATTGCAACCGGAGGCATCATTGACCCAGCCACTGGCTGCCGGCTCCCAGCAGATGTTGCCTGTGAGAGGGGATATTTAGATGAAGAGATGAGACAGCTCCTCTCTGACCCCAGCAATGAGGACAGCAAAGGGTTCCTCAACCCCAGTACTATGGAGAGGGTCACTTATATGGAGCTTATAAACAGGTGTGTTGTTGATCCAGCCTCAGGCTTCCTCCTCTTGCCCTTGGAAATCACATTCCCAGGGCTGGGAGGGAGAGTGAGCAGCAGGGATCTGCTGGACTCTGGCATCATCAGCCCTAACATGTTCAGAGATCTTGAGGAGGGAAGAATTTCTGCCCAGGAGGTAGCAGAGAACGACTCCATTCAGCAGTTCCTGCATGGGACAAGGAGTGTGGCTGGTGTTGTCCTGCCTTCCAGTGAGCGGAAAAGCCTTTATCAGGCACTGAGAGAGCATCTCCTCGTGCCTGGTGCTGCTCTGATGCTCCTGCAAGTCCAAGCCTCCACCGGCAGCCTGACAGACCCCATAAAGAACAAAAGTTACTCAGTTGATGAGGCTGTCAGGGTCGGTCTCATCGGCCCAGAGCTTCATGAGAAACTGTCTTCAGCTGAGAGGACCATCACTGGATACAGGGACCCCTACACTGGAGAAATGCTGTCTCTGTTCCAAGCCATCAGGAAGGGCTTTATCCCCAAGGATCATGGCATTTGCCTTCTGGAGGCTCAGATGGCCACAGGGGGTATAATTGCTCCAGGTAGGCACCTCCGTGTCCCCACAGAGACAGCTTGCAAGTGGGGATACCTGGACGAGGCCACAAGACAGCTCCTCTCCAGTACTACTGATGACATGAAAGGGTTCTTTGACCCCAACTCCAAGGAGAAGCTGATCTACGCAGACCTGCTCAAGCGCTGTGTCACTGATCCCAACACGGGGCTCCTTCTGCTGCCACTTAGTGGAGACAACAGAGGAGGATCCAAGGGAACCCACCTCTTCTTTGACCATAGGACCCAAACAGCTCTGGAAAACACACAGGTACCCATTGCTTTAGGTAAATTCAAGGGAAAGTCGGTATCTCTCTGGAAACTCCTTTTTTCAGACTATATCCAGGGTGAGCGAAGAGCTGCTCTCAGCCAGCAGTACCTTGCAGGAACGCTCTCTATGCAAGAATTGGGTAAGGCAGTCAGTGCCACCATTGAGGAAATGGCTTCCACTGCTAATGTCACCTTTGAAGGACTGAGGGACCGTGTAACAGCTGATCAGCTCCTGAGCTCTGAAATCATCAACAAAGATTTGTTTAAGAAACTGAAGGAGGGAGAAACATCAGCCAAAGAAGTTGTCAGCATGGACACTGTCAAGAAGTACCTGCAAGGGACAGGTAGCATTGGTGGGCTCCTGCTTCCTGACTCCCAGGAGAAGATCAGCATCTACCAGGCAAAGCGGAAAGGACTTTTAAGGCCAGGAACGTCACTGATCCTCCTGGAGGCACAGGCTGCTACTGGATTTATCATTGACCCAGCTGCCAACAAAAGGTATTCTGTGGATGAGGCGTTAAGAGCGAACATCATTGGCCCAGATGTTTATGACAAGCTACTGACTGCAGAGAAATCAGTCACTGGCTACAGAGATCCTTACTCAGGGAACAAGATCTCCCTCTTCCAGGCCATGAAGAAGGAGCTCATTGTCAAGGAGCATGCTATCCGCCTGCTCGAAGCCCAGATCGCCACCGGCGGCATCATCGACCCCGTGCACAGCCACCGCATCCCCGTGGAGGTGGCCTACCAGCGCGGCTACTTTGACAAGAAGATGAACTTAATCCTTTCTGATCCCAGTGATGACACCAAGGGCTTCTTCGACCCCAACACACATGAGAACCTCACCTACATGCAGCTGAAGGAGAAGTGCATCACAGAGTCATCCACTGGGCTCTGCCTCCTTCCTCTGAACAGCAGGAAGCGCCAGTTCATCGATGACACCACCAGACGGGTGTTCAGGAGCTCCTGGCTGCTGGTCAGGTATGGGCGGTTACGGGGGGAGAAGGTCTCTGTGTGGGACCTGCTGAACTCCGAGTACTTCAGCGAGGGGAGGCGCCGAGAGATATTCAACCATTACCAGCTGAGAAAGCTCACCCTGGAGCAAATTCGAATCATGTTAGAGGAGGAAATGAAAAAATGGGCCCCCATCAAGTTCCCAGCCATGAGAGGCAGCGTCAGCGCTTACCACCTGATGGAAACAGGTGTCATTGACAAGGCCTTGTTTGAGAAGGTGTTGGAGGGATCCGTCACACCAGAGGAAATCCTGCACATGGACTCTGTCAGAAAGTACCTCTATGGCTCTGGCAGCATCGGGGGGATTGTGCTCCAGCCATCAAACCAGAGGATAAGCATTTATGAGGCCATGAAGAAAAATATCATGGTACCAGGAGTAGCCCTCCCACTGCTAGAGGCCCAGGCTGCCACAGGCTTCATCATTGACCCAGTGAACAACCAGAAACTCTGTGTGGATGATGCCATCAAGGAGGGAGTCATTGGGCCAGAAGTCCATGAGAAGCTGCAGCATGCAGAAGGGGCTGTAACAGGCTATAAAGATCCTTTCACAGGCAAGAAGATACCCCTCTTCCAGGCGATGAAGAAGGGCCTGGTTGCTGACAAACAGGCTATGCAGTTGATGGAGGTGCAGATGGCTACAGGAGGCATCATTGACCCAACATGTGGCCACTATATCCCCATAGAATCTGCCCAGAAGCGAGGGTGCCTGGATGAGGACACAACCAAGGCCCTTTCTAAGCCCAGTGACAACAACAGAGCCTTCTGCGTCCCAGACAGCAAAGAGACCGTGACCTATGCCGAGCTAATCCAGCGCTGCCAGAAGGACGAGATCTCTGGCTTCCACTTGCTGCCTCTGCCACAGACAGCTGCTCATGCCTACACCGACGAAGAAATCCAACGGATTTTTAAGGAAACTGTGGTGAAGGAAAAAGGGTTCTCCCTCTGGGAGCTAATCCACTCTGGGTATTTCACTGAGGAGCAGAGGAGTGACTTCGTGGAGAGGTTCCGGTCTGAGGAAATGTCGCTGCAGCAGCTGGTTGCTCTTGTGCTCAGACTGGTTGGGGAGATGGAAATGAAAGCCCGCACCCACATCACCTTGGAAGGCTTGCGGGGCAGTGTCCCTGCAGTCTGGCTGCTGGATGCTGGCATCATTACTGAGAAGATGTTTGAAGAATTGGCTCAGGGCATAAGAACTCCCGAGGAAGTGGCTGCAATGGAGGGGGTGAGGAGGTACTTACAGGGCACAGGCAGCATCGCTGGGATATTCATAGAGGCGTCCAAAAAGAAGATGAGCCTTTACAATGCCATGAAAAACAATCTCCTCCTCCCTGGGGCTGCTCTGAAGCTGCTAGAAGCTCAGGCAGCTACAGGATACCTAACTGACCCAGCAACAAACCAGAGACTCAGTGTGAGGGATGCTGTGAAAGCAGCTGTTGTTGGTGAAGAGCTCACCGAGAAACTCCTTCTAGCTGAGAGGGCAGTGACTGGCTACACAGACCCCTACACGGGGAGCTCCATCTCACTATGCCAAGCGCTCAGGAAAGAGCTGATTCCCCTGGGAGATGCTGTTCCCTTGCTAGAGGCCCAGCTGGCCACAGGAGGGGTCATTGATCCCATTCACCACCATCACCTTCCACTCCAGGCTGCATGCAGATATGGCTTCTACGATGAGGACCTGAACCAAATCCTCTCTCAGCTGAATGACAGCACCAAAATCTTTTTTGATCCAAACACAAAGGAAAACGTGACCTACCAGCAGCTGAAGGACAGGTGCATTCATGAGGCTGAGTCAGGTCTCTGGCTCCTTCCTCTGTCAGAAAACGCGATGTTCTGTGTGGATGAACAAACCATGGAGGTGCTGAAATCTATGACTGTTTGTGTCAACATAGGGCGGTTCAAAGGACAGACAGTGTCAGTCTGGGACCTTCTCAACTCTGAATACCTCTCAGACAGCAAGAGAAGAGAGCTAGTGCAAAAGTACAAAGATGAGAATACTGAAGTGCTACATGAAATCATAACAATTGTCACCACAGTCATCAAAGAGACTGAGACACAAGGCAAGAAGTTTGCATTCAAGGGCCTGCGGAAAAGAGTATCCGCCAGTGACCTCTTCCAGTCTCAACTGATAGACAAAAAAACCCTCGATGAGCTCAACCAGGGGAAGAAAACAGTCAAAGAAGTCACTGAAATGGATTCTGTCCGCAGGTACCTGGAGGGCAGCAATTTCATAGCAGGGGTCCTTATACAGCCAAGCAATGAGAAGATGAGCATCTACCAGGCCATGAGGAAGGGCATCCTGAGGCCAGGGACAGCACTGGTGCTGCTGGAGGCACAGGCTGCCACTGGTTATATCATTGACCCAGAGAAAAACAAGAAGTTTTCAGTGGAGGAAGCATTAACTGCAGGTCTAATTGGAGGGGAGATTTTTGACAAGCTACTCTGTGCAGAAAGAGCTGTGACAGGCTACACCGACCCCTACACAAAAGCCCCAATGTCCCTATTTGAAGCTATGAACCAAGGACTGATTGTGAAGAGCCACGGCATCCGCCTGCTTGAGGCCCAGATTGCCACCGGCGGCATCATCGACCACCCCCCGCCCCCCCGTGGAGGTGCCCTACCGGCGCGGCTACTTCAACCAGGAGATGAACCAGATCCTCTCGGACCCCACCGACGACACCAAGGGCTTCTTCGACCCCAACACCCATGAGAACCTCACCTACATGCAGCTCCTGGAGAGATGTGTCCAAGATTCAGAGACTGGGTTGTACATGCTACAAGTTGTACAGGAAGGAGGAAAGTACTTCTACATTGATGAGTTTACAAAACAGGTTTTGCGCTCAAAGCCCCTTGAAGTGAAAGTTGGAAAGTTTAAGGACCAAACAGTTTCCATCTGGGAAATTCTCTGCTCTCATTACATCTCCGAGCAGAGAAGGAAAGAACTAGTGATGCAGTACAAATGCAAAACCCTCACACTGGAAGATCTTATAGCACTCATCCTCAAAATAATTGAGGATACAGAACAAAGAGCAGAAGCCCTCAAGGTTAAAGGACTCCGTGGGGATGTGTCAATATCAGAATTGTTTAACTCTGAGATAATTGACAAGAAAACTCTAGATCAGCTGCAGGATGGGAGTCTCAGGCTTGCCAGCCTCACAAAGAGGGACACCATCCAAAGGTACTTGGATGGCACTGGATGCATTGCCGGGGTTCTACTCCCATCAAGGAAAGAGAAGATGAGCATCTACCAGGCCCTGAAGAAGGGCCTCCTCACAGAGCAATGTGCACTGGGGTTGCTGGAGGCACAGGCTGCCACTGGTTTTCTCATTGACCCACTGAAAAATAAGAAGCTCACCGTGGATGAGGCTGTCTCGTCTGGGCTGGTGGGTAGCAACTTGCACAAGAAACTCCTATTGGCAGAGAAAGCTGTGACAGGATACACAGATCCTCATGCAGGTAATAAAATATCCCTTTTCCAGGCCATAAGGCAAAAGATAACAATCAAGGAGCACGGCATCCACCTCCTTGAGGCACAGCTCGCCACTGGCGGCATCATTGACCCCGTGCACAGCCACCGCCTCCCTGTGGAGGTGGCCTACCGGCGTGGCTACTTGGATGATGATATGTTTCTCCTACTTTCTGATCCAGATCATGGTAGCAAAGGTTTTATAGATCCAAACACTCATGAGAAAATCAGTTACAGTCAGCTCCTACAGAGATGTTCCAAAGACAGAGATACTGGATTATACCTGCTGCAGATCATGGAAAAAGACGACGACTATTTCTACATTGATGAGCAAACAAAAAATGCCCTATTATCTACAAAGGTACAAATGTCAGTTGGAAAATTCAAAGGACATGTATTATCACTGTGGGAACTTCTCTGCTCTGAGTACATCACAGAAGAGAAAAGAAAAGAACTGGTGAAAAAATATAAAGACGAATCCCATCACATTCTACAAGGAATCATTAATACAATACTAAATATCATTAAAGAAAAAGAAAAGGACAGAAGTGATGTCTGGTTCCAAGGACTCAGACAAAAAATAACAGCAGCAGAACTTCTCAGTGCACAGATAATTACAGAAGAAACAATGGAAAAACTCCATGAAGGAAAAGAGACGGCACAAGAAATAGAACAAATGGATAGTGTGAGAAGATACCTTGAGGGAACTGGAAGCATTGCCGGTGTGCTGGTGCCCTCCAAGGCCGACCCCGCCAAGATGGAGAAGATGAGCATCTACCAGGCCATGTGGAAGGGCATCCTAAGACCAGGGACAGCACTGGTGCTGCTGGAGGCGCAGGCTGCCACCGGCTTCGTCGTTGACCCACTCGCCAACAAGAAGCTCTCCGTGGACGAGGCCGTCTCGTCCGGGCTGGTGGGCAGCGAGCTACAAAAAAAACTTCTTTGTGCAGAGAGAGCAGTAACAGGTTACACCCACCCCTGCACAGGACAAAAGATGTCCCTCTTCCAGGCCATGAAGAAGGAGCT